TCAGCACCAGCTACTTCGCAGAGAGGAGCCATGGTAGAGGAAGGGAGGAGTCCCCGGGAACAAGTTATACAGGGACTAAAGGAAGGCACCAGAGCAGGTGAAATGGGAGTCGGCAGGGAACAAGACGGCGGTAAGGTGGGGCTAGAAAATGGCTGGACAGAAGATGGCGATGGAGGAAAAGAAGATGGCGGCAAAGCTGCTTGTGGGGGTTGAGGGACAGGAAATGGCGGCGAAGCAGGGCTGGAAGAAACAGGGGAGGAAGAGGCAGGAGGGAGAACAGGCTGACTAGGGGGACCCTCACCCCACAGTGGTTGTCCCGGAGACCAGGGCTGTTTACCGGCCGGCCGGCCGGGCGCAGGAGGCAGATGGAGCCATTCTGAAGAGGATTAGAGAGAGAGAGAGAAGGTTTAAAAGGAGGATTAGAATGAGCCCTGTGGCCGGATGAGAAGGACGGAACTCAGAGGGCGTCCCCAATGAGTCATGCCGTTCCTAGGAGATGGGTTCAAGGATGAACCCAGGAAGGAAGGGGGTGTAGGTCGTCACCTAGACCCTCACTTCCTGGAGGCAAAAATGCCGGAAGCCGGAGGGACCTAGCACGCTAGGGTTTACTGGATGGCGGGGGTCCAGGACCTGGTAGGAGGAAGGTTAAAAGGAGTGAGAGAAAGAGAGAGGAATGGGGGCTTAGCCTCCGGGGCCCGGGGAAATGTGATTAGGGTGAAGGTTTAAATAATCTACAAGCCTGACAAAAGGAAAAGGGGGCTTACCTAACGGATGAGCCGGTGGTGGGTGAAGGAAGCCAGAGCTGGAGAAAATGGACGAGGGCAGACCGTCAGTCCCGGGGGTCGCGGAGGAGTCCAAGGAGGTCTGAGGAAGGAGTCCGCTGGCGCAGGGTGAACTCCTTCCTGGGTTTCGGCACCAAATGAAGGGAAGAACAGACGAGACCCGGACTAACAGTTCGCCAGAGAAGTTCCGCTTTATTAAAGGACTGCGCGTACATTTATAGGGAGCTTCACTTTGGGTTTGGATAGGGGATGGACAGGGCGGTAGCTGATAGATGGGTTCAAGGATGAACCCAGGAAGGAGGAAGGTTAAAAGGAGTGAGAGAAAGAGAGAGGGAGGAATGGGAGGTTCAGCCTCCGGGGCCAGGAACATGTCAATGCCGGGGCCGGGGGAAGGTTTAAATGTGATTAGGGTGAAGGTTTAAATAATCTACAAGCCTGACAAAAGGAAAAGGGGGCTTACCTAACGGATGAGCCGGTGATGGGTGAAGGAAGCCAGAGCCGGAGAAAATGGACGAGGGCAGACCGTCAGTCCCGGGGGTCGCGGAGGAGTCCAAGGAGGTCTGAGGAAGGAGTCCGCTGGCGCAGGGTGAACTCCTTCCTGGGTTTCGGCACCAAATGAAGGGAAGAACAGACGAGACCCGGACTAACAGTTCGCCAGAGAAGTTCCGCTTTATTAAAGGACTGTGCGTACATTTATAGGGAGCTTCACTTTGGGTTTGGATAGGGGATGGACAGGGCGGTAGCTGATTGGACGGGGCTGGGCAGGAAGTGAGCCTTGACCTCTGATTGACTGAGGTTTGGTGCGGGTGGGCTTGGGTGTTGGTGCCGGTGGGCTTGTTTACTGTGGAGAAGAACCCGGAAGGGCGCCATATTGCTAGGGAATGCTTTCCCCCTCCCCCTCCCCTTGAGTGCCCACAGTATACTTACAACCTCCACATTAGATCCTTGACCTTGAGTTATCATGGTGGGTAAGGCCAGGTGGAAGCCTCTGAAGTTGCCCTCTCCCCATGTCAAGATAATAAATCAAAACCAATATTTCATCCAAGGGGATGGTAGGTCATGGTGGAGATTAATGCTATCATTAAGGACCTAAAGGATACAGGGGTGGTCATCCTTGTCACATCTCCATTTAATTTGCTAGTCTGGCCCCTTCAGAAACCAGATGGACTCAGGAGAATGACTATAGACTACTGCAACTGCAGACTTAACTGAGTAGTAGCCCAGTATGGCTCTGTCATAATGGCTCTGTCCAGTCCAAAAGGATCTGGACCACCTGCACATCCCACAGAACATCACACCCATCTATTACACTGATGACATTATACTAATCAAGCAGGATGGGCAAGAGGTGGCTAGCATGCTGGAAACCTTGGTAAGACACATGCACTCCAGAGGTTGGGAGACAAACCCAGTGAAGATTAAGGGACCTGCTACTTCAGTTTTTAGGGGTCTAGTAGTTAGGGATCTGCCAGAATATCCCCTTCAAAGTAAAAGGCAAATTATAAAATACACATAAACAAAATAAAAGAAAAAATCACTTACAGAGATACCTAAAATTGTTTAGTGTTTATATCCTTCGAGATGGTTTTCATTGTGACAGAGTATAAATATAATAAACGGATGTGAGACTGTATTTCTCAGCATTATCTGATATCTGCTTTATTTATTTGAGCACTTGTTTATTGTCTTTCTTTCCTCATTGTGATATAAGCTCCATGAAAGTCGTGTTTTTTGTCTTGTGCACTGCTGGCACATAGAACGCAGCTGGTGCTCCAGAAACATTTTTTGGTGAATGAATGAAGCACACTATACACATCATTTTGTAGCCAGCTATTTTCAGCTAACTTCCAGACACTTCAAGCTATAATTCATCTTTCTTAAAATATGTCACTCCAGAAGTCATGTGAAAGCTGAGCACAGCTCCAGAACCAAGAACCCTTAGTCTTCTGGCAGCCCTCAAGTCTTCTTCGTCTTGGCCAGTAGTGCCTTTTGCCTTAGAATCTACAACGGGCACAACCTCGTCTGGATCGTTCTTTAGACAACCCAACTCAGCCAAGGCAAGTACTAAGAACATGCACAAGGACGCTGTTTCCAGGCAAGCAGACCAGCCAAGGTTCACATTCCTCCTCCAGCCACACGAGGGCACTAGAGCGCCACAGCCCGCGCAGGGTCCGGAGCCGGCTGAGAGGACGCCTCTGGGCGGGTGTATTGACTGCCCGGTGTGGGCGGAGCGAAAGGCGCTCAAGCCCGGGCAGAGGGCAGGAAGTGAGGGGGCGGGGCTTGTCGGTGGGATTGCGCGTGCGCTTAGGTCGGGTCAGAGGAGTCATCGCGTTCGCCCCTGCTGGGGTCTGTCCTCACGGTGACGCCTTATCCCTCCTTTTCCGGGTTGGGCCTGGCTGAAGGGAGGGGGTAGAATGCGGGCGTTGGGGTGGGCCTCACTTCGAGGGTCGCTGGGGCGAGGAGCGGGGCCTGTGAGGACAGGGCGGGGTGGGCTGGCGAGGCCCGGGGAGGGACGAGGGGCGCCGAGCGGGCGGGGGCAGCTCCGGGTGTCGTGGGGACAGGCGGGCGATGCGGCGGCCCAGGTGCTGCCCGGGCGGCGCGGGAGCCGTAAACGGGCACGGTGGCCGTATTTCCCGGGATGTACCTCTCCCTCTGCCTTAGCCTTTCCTCTAAGCAGATCTTTTTAAAGTAGGGTCTTAACGCAGTGTTGGGGACCTCACCCTGACGCCTTCGCTTCTGGAAAACCTCCTCCAGCCACCTACGGTATCTGAGAGTCAGCCCCTGTCTTTTACTCCCTCCGTCTCAACTAGAAAAGTTTTCCTGCGTCAACTCCGCAGTGAAAATACATTTCCTGTCTAAACAGTGCTAGGGCGTTTTAATTATTCCTTCCTAAACTTACCTACAAAAATCAGTTTTAGTACTATTTGGATGTTGACTGGCTGTGTAAAACGGAGCAACAGTTTTATTGTGCCTTGCAGTCCTCAACGAGAAATTTTCGTCCTATGAAAATACCTCATTTGGAATTCAGGAGTTGATCAGCTATAGTGTCTCCTACCAGGGCCATGTAATCCTCACTAAAAGGATTTAGGTTCATATCCCTCATTCTGAGCCAGGGTGAAGGGGTGTAGTCTGACATTTGGAAGCTTAAGAACCAAATCTGCTGCCTTATAATTTTTTTTTTTAAAGCCTTCCATCGTGTGTACTTTGCTTGAATGATTGTTTTAAAGTACATGTTCTATTTTTGCCAATCTGACAGATGTTTCCATAGAAACTAGAGAAGAAATAGTCATTTTCAGCAAGAGTTGTTAAAACTGTCTTCCAGGCTTCAGCTGTGAGTGCTATACTTGCTAATTCTGAGATGGTACTTAAAGAATTAAGGATCTGAAATGTTTTTAGAGGCTAGCAATCCATATTGTTTAATTTTCTCACATCATTAATTTAGTAATCCTAGAAGTCTGCCAGCTATGTTTGTTGACCTGCCACAGTTCTTTGAAGAGGAATCAGCCCTGATTCTTTCTTAAGTGTTGCGTAGTCTAGTAATTGGCTCTTTGAAAATGTATAAATAGATTTCTTCCCAATTCTTTACCCTTTCTTAAGGATAAACCAAGGGTTAAAAAATATCCGGCACTATTTCTATTCTAAATGACACTTGATTGTCAGTGATATAAATGATCATCGTTACCTGGCACAGAGGTCTGGCTGCCTGCCCCCTTTCAAAAGCAAACCACTCAAAAGTCAAATGTTGGTGAAAATGGAAATCAGCTTTTATTTAGGAATACCAGTGACCTGAGGAGAGATGTTTGGTAACCCATCTCACGTAAACCTGAAGGAGAGTGGTCAGACTAAAACCATCTCAAGGTATAAGTTACTGAGAGGTTTTAAAACGGGGGGGAGCGGGGGGGCAAGGGAATGAAACGTGGGAATGTGGGAAATGAAAAGCAGGAGGGAGGGGCTTCATGCAGTGCAAAGTCTCACCAAGAATCCCTCTGGTTT